TATATATATATATATATATATATATATAGTGAACTGTGAGTCAATTGCTGAGTAAGTTAACAAAGTCGAGCAATATGAGAAGTGTGTGTGGTGTCTGACCAGTCACGCTATAGTGATTACATGTCTGACTCCAACATGATGGAGAAAACACATCTTAATACAAGTATACGTTATCATATTAAAAGTAAAAAGTCTGACCAGTGTAAGCTGTGTGGGTGATTTGCGTCGAGTGTAATCTTCTAAGGAAAACTGCACATCTAAAATGCCTGATATCAGTAGCAGTTTGTTCCATCAATGAGGCATATATTTGTGGCATAGTTCCCTAACCATGACTTGATATGGAACGTTTAAACACTAACAAATATACCAGTATAACCCCTAATCTAAAAGAAAAATTATTTTAAACATTGAATATTAATGTTCATGAATTTATTTGTTATTTGAGAGATGTTAATTATATTTATTTTCATGCCAAAACAATGTCTGAAAGTTGTTTTTTCGTACAAAGTATGCGTTAGAAATGTTTATGATGATAGAAAATATATATGATAATGTATATTATCAAAAATATTCACGTGATACTGCTCAAGTCACTAATTATTAAGATCGAAGATCGATTGTTTGTTGAAGCTGTTCGAAACACGCTACGATGCCAAGACATCCTGATATTGTGTTACCGATTCCAAGTTATAAACAACACAACAATTGCATGTTCTTAAAAAATGTGTTTCGCCATATGTGGATGTATTTATGAATGTTCTTCCTCCCGATTTTCTATATGATACCACCATGAAAGCATTACAAACATAGTTAATGGGCCCTCAATACCCCCCCCCTCTCTGATACATGTATTTTGAATTTAATTGATATATATATATTTAAAAAACATAACACTTATACATTGATAAATATACATATAAATGGCGTATAAATATTCATTACAGACGTATTACGAACATGTAAACACACAACACGGGAACGGCGACAAATGTGGCTCGCTATTGTAAGCATAAGGCTGGACACAAATCATATATTTTATAGACTTGAGGATATATTCATGAAACCTCAATATCGCAGCAGCCAACTAGACCTTAGTAGGATCCTAAAATGCCTAGTAACCAACTTAGAAATTGTCAACTAAATTGTAATACTTGAAACTTTGCTAAGCACCTTTCTAAATAGTTACATACTAGAAGAATGTAGCTCTATACTAAATAGTTGCACGCTTAAATTTATTTCAGACAGGCATGCCTGGTTATTTCGACAGTGGTTAATGATCTCCTCACTCCATGTGTTTCTGATGTCGTAATAACTAGAGAATTGCACGTTATGTACACATGCCCCTCTTTCTTTTTGTTTACTCATACATATAACGTTAATTATTGTGATTGTTAATAATCAACCTAATTGGACAAGCACTAACAAGTGGGGCATACATTTGAAATATAGTCAATTTTACGTTTCAACATTTCGCATATTTGCATTTCTGGAATTACGCATGCGTGAACAGTAACACAATTTCATGTACGTCTTCTAATCACGAAAATATAATAAGTGAGTTGTATATTCCTTAAAGAAAGTGAAATACGAAATCTCTGAAACCACGTGGTATATTTATCGAAATTCATGTTCTTAAATTATATATTACTTGAAGAGAGTGTCTAATAAACAAAATAAATTATGAAAATGTATTTATCCGGGGAATTCTGAAACATTAAAGATTGCCAAGGAGACCGCAATCATCAAGCATAAATAAATAAAACGCGGGAAACAATAAACTCTGCCAATACATCACGGAAAAGGCATCAGCATTTCCTGCCATATGTTGATGCAAAATATGCGATATTCTAAAACAGTGTACATGTTAGCATGCCGATAGAATACGATAAAAAGATAGGCAGCTGCTTCCGGTTCAAAAACTTGTTCTTATCACGCATATCATGTTTCAGTTGGGAAGCAAGGTAATGGAGTCACAGGGGAATATTCAAACGAAAAACCGTACGTTTGATCAATCGCAAATTTAAAATTTGGTTATTATTTTTTGAATATCGGGCTACCTAATGGAAGCCTCATACATCTCCGCAATTTTGATAAACACATGTTTTTTTATGCAGCAAATGACAAAGCATCACCGGACAATATATATTGGTTAAATCGTGACGTCGTCTTCAAACACAGTCTTAACTGTTTTTATGTTTGTGTGTTAAAGTGTGTTTGCAAACTGGTTTATTCAAAGACATATAACTGACCCTGTATTTAGCGCATTTGATATTAAAATTATATATGACAAAGTCTAAGTTACCTCGAAGAAGCTGAAATTTAGGTAATCCAAAAAATGGGATAAATTCCCAAACGTAGATCTTCAATAGAAAATCGTATAGAGACATTTTATAAACAACACAAAACACAACTGACAAAAGATGTCAACGGAATCAACAAAACAACTGACAAGTACACTGCACTACATAGTCAATATGTTGTACAAAAAGTGATGTCAGGTGTCTCGAAAAGAGTGATACCACTCTGCTCCACATGTGCCTCCCGCTCATATATCAATATGATTTATGGCCGACGGGTACAGCACGGTACATAGTTGAACGACAAACAATTCACAAAACAAACCACCTGCCAAATCAGTAATTGCCAATTGCTATGACCTTGGATATATTCATTTTGTAAGTGACCTACATAAATATATTAAATTTTAAGTTAAACGACCAAGTGAAGTTTAGCGCATATGTAACACATGGATCACTTATAAATCGTCGGTATTTGCGGAATACACATGGGTACATTATTTGAATGAAATCGACTCATCTCTGATAAAACAAATCTGATTTGCATATGCAAATTAACGTAATCATGAGAAGTTATAATCCATGCTACGAGAGCTGTCCGCGTAATTAAGATCAATTGCCGTTTTTTTTTTATTTTGGATTTTTTTTTGCTTAATTTCCGATGGCGCCCTAAAACATGTCTTAATTATGATTTCGAACAAATCGGTTATCAATCTCTATTTTATTTCTAGTTTCCGCTATAACTATCAACTCATATCTCATTAGCAGTAAGTAAATATGCGCAAAATAAGTTGATGTAATTTATTAACTATATTTTGAATGCTAGTGCACCTTACCAGCCTTATGTTCCACAGGGGATAGAGAGGAAAAGTGAAACAGACATCTTTCTAAAAAGTATAACGATGAATACACAAGGGAAATTGACATGTAACTGGTACAAGGAATATTGTTATAAATAAACCAAGTAATCAAGGTCACAGTTTAGTGATAATTAAACTAGAACTAATCAAAGCTGAGATAATTTATTACTATAACATTTACAACGATGGTCGCACAGTGCGTATAACAAATTACTGCAATAAAACATATGCATTCCACGTTTCAGTCTATGATGGTTCTGGTTTTCTAAAACACGCAACCTCCCTAATACCTATGATATAATGATATTTTGAAAATAAGTTCGACATCCTCCCCTTCCCTTGAGTCGTTTGTGTGTTGATGATGTCACAATTTAAAATAACGTTTCTATTATATAATGTGAATTATTAGTTTTTTTACGTCGTACGAATTAATTGTAAAAGTCACGTATCAGGTATTTCATTTTGCCTCGTAAAAACGCGTTAATTACATGCCGTAAATTGAATATGACTTGTTAATGGTTAAATCTCGCCGCATTTTGCTTATTGCCATCGCTCGAGGTGTTTGTACTGCTAAACGTGAACTATGAATATGCTCGGATGTACAGTGTTGGCTTTGTTTCTGCTGTTGGCTACAGGGAAGGCGTCGAAGACGGGTAGGTTAATTCGAGATATCTTGTACGTGGTTTAGTCAAATTGTTGAAATTATTGGTAAATGTATTGTGAATTGTCGGTTGCTATTTTGTTACAGTGGTTTTCCCACTGATACGGCACAAGTGTGCGTGAAACCACAAATTTACAAAGCACAAACATTTTATTTAGCGTGCTGATACGATATTTTTCATAAAAATTAAAATAAATGACTTAAGTTTGCTATTAAGTTAGATTATTTGTATTGTTGTTTATTTACGCTTAATATTTCACACGCCATTTGGACCCGTCTTGTCGCTGCGGTCTGCTTACATAGACTAACGCATCGGTCGTGAGTTTGAATGTGGTCTAGCGTGTTTATCTGTTCGTAATTTATATTATATCTGAATGATGAACTAATGTATGTATAATGCAATTAAATTAAAATAAATGACTTAAGTTTGCTATTAAGTTAGATTATTTGTATTGTTGCTTATTTACGCTTAATATTTCACACGCCATTTGGACCCGTCTTGTCGCTGCGGTCTGCTTACATAGACTAACGCATCGGTCGTGAGTTTGAATGTGGTCTAGCGTGTTTATCTGTTCGTAATTTATATTATATCTGAATGATGAACTAATGTATGTAGAATGCAATTTGTTATTAAAGTCATTATTTTTATTATTGATATGTGTAGATGCTACCGTGACCGGGGATGCGTTAAACGAGCAGTCCGAGATAACGTGCAAATGTAACCCGCCCTGCAAAGGACGTGATACGTGTGTTACCCTCGGTGCTTGTTACGCGGTAAGCTCTCCTTGGATGAACGCCTCTTATCTTGGGTGTGTAAGAGAAGATGCCGCCAATCAAACGTGCGGCAAGTCGCGTCCTAGGGTAAGTATGGCCGGCAACATGGAGATAGTACGTGGGAATAGGCTATGGGAGACGGATTAAAAAATATTCCACTGTTGACTCCTAACGTCAATCGGGAATACTATACTGTGTTACAACTGTTAAACGCTGCTCGCGTTCTCTGTCGTAGGATAACCAATCCAACGGTTGCGTCATCGTTCTTCACTGAATAGCGATCATTTCGCCAATGAGAGCAAAGTGACGTTGTATGTGTATATAATCACATTTTATAAATACATTGTTATTTGCTGTGTTTTCACAGGGTCCTAAATGTTGTACCAGTGATCTTTGCAATGATGTGGACACCAAAGACGCCAGTTCCGAGGTCGCTCCTGACATGGATTTACCGGTAGGATCGTCGTCTGACTACTGAATACAATACGCCTCAGCAGGTCCCCTGGTCGCGAGATGAATTTTTTTCACAAGATATGGGTATATGTATTTAAAATTATTACAGTGACAATAATTATTTATGTAAATGTTGTATAGTGTATTTTGTCATTCATTGCATCGGTGTGTTATGTGATGCGACACGTACATTCAGCATGTATTGTTTGATATTGTATGTAATAATAGAAACTTACAACATAATATTATCTATCGTTGTTTTGATAGAAAACATCGCAGATCATACAGGTTATTCGAAGCGTGATGTTTTCATTATCCCTACTAGTTCGAATATAAACTCGTACGAAAGGGAGCATAATGACAATTTGGAGAAACCTTATTTTCAATCTCAAAAATGTTTTATTTTGGGGACTTATATTTATTTATATATATATGAATGGGCCATGCTTTACTTTTTGTCCGTCTGTGTATTAATATAAGCATACAATTTTCTTAAAACAAGTTATAGTTTAATAATAGAATAATCTCTCAATGTATCAACAATTACAAAATTCGTTAAATTGTTGTTAAAGTGTATTAATCATCTATGATCGAACGAATATTGTTATGTTTACAGAACCAAAACACTTTAATTTCGTTTAAATTGAGTCATGCCGTGTTATTGTTATCAAGATGTGATGTCACAATCATCAAACATCAAAAATATTCAAAATTAAACTTGACTTTCTACTATATATAACACTGAGAATATTGTAACCTTTTACACAGTTTTTTCTTTTGTTTTCATTTTAAATTCCGTTTCAGCGACGACGAGGTCACAGTAATAATCTCGTGAAGGCGGGTGTGATATCAGCAATGATTGTTGAGGGCGCTTGCTTGTTACCATGAATGAGCAGATTGAGATGTTTAACTCTGTGGGAAGTTTTCGTAATCATTATATGGTGTATTCCTTCGCGTTAAAACGACCATTCAAAATATTACTCAATGCTGCAATACGCTTTCTAATACCATGGTGTATAAGTTTGCGTACGTGCTGTACGCATCATAAATATTCCACTACCACTATTAATAAGTCTTAGGTGGTAACTCTATATACTAGTATATGAATGATATATCGGAATGACTATCATCCGTATTCGGTTCGTAGATGTATCCTTAATCGACTCGGACTGTGTGCACGTACAGCCTACTATGTGAAATTAGTCATTTTTGTGACGTGATAAAGTGACGTCATAAAGATCTCATATGCACAATATGTTTTTAATTTTAAAGATTAATTTTTTGCTACTTTAGTATATGTTTTCATCGATACGAATTGGCATTTTAAATTGAACAATTTGAAAGAAACAAATACTGGTACATGATCTGTGGATGTAAATACAAATTACAGATAAATAATATTGAGAATACAAATATCACGTATGGGGAATCGTTCTAACCACTCTTATATTCGGGAACACTTTCTCTCAAAATTCAGAACATGAACAAAACAATTTTAAGAGTTATCGACAATACAGTGTGACGTAGGTACTGTTAGGGGAGAGTGATTCTCAAATGGCATAACTGAACTTGAGAGCCGATATGACAAGTTCATGATGTCAGCGATTGAACTGTCAAATGAAATATCAATAATTTGCGTACTATCAATGGCATGTTTCGTTGACATGTGACACGGAGTGCCGGGAAATTACAAGTGTTAATAATTGTATTAAAATGCATATTCGTGTTTATGCTAATTAGATACTGGTAATGGACCACTCATTGTTGAACACGAACTCGGAGGTCAAACTACGTGGTCGTTTTGTCTTCTACAGACTCTTCGCAGTGTGTGTCTTTTCGAACTTGCCCCAGTTGCTTAGATAGTGGCCCCCGTGGCAGAGTCCCGTCAAGAGTTCTATAAGCAAATAACAACATATAGAACGTCTAGCAAATTGATCCCGGGCTTGATCATTCTTGACGTCACATCACGATGCGAAGAGCTGTACTCTCGTACTGAATAGCCATCGTGGGGCAGTACCGGTTTTGTCGTCATTACCCGTTTTCACCGCGTCTCCCTATCACTTATTAAGCGTTGTTCCTTTCCGAACTTATCACCAATGAAAGAACATCGTAAATCGTGTGGCAGGTAAAGCTAGGATGACGGTACCCCGGTACATTGAGGTTGTTGCCTTATAAATAATAAAGCGTTCCGCATCTGCGGCACTTATCTGGTCATTACTGTCAACATTAATCTTATTATTCAAAAACTGTGTTTGCATAGTTACTTTATGTTCAACGCGATGCCTGAAATAACGCATTCATCTAATGCACGACATACAGCTACTTCGCCACTGTGCGAGAAGTCGACAGATTCCTACTTCGATAATTCCATCAGTCAATTACAATATCGAAGATATTACATAATTTAAGCAGAACCACGGTCCTGCGGCGACACCAACATTCCCTTCGTCATGATGTCATCCCTGGAATAAAGCATTTATCGTGATTTGAAGATTATCGAATGGTACAGATAGCAGTGTAAGCTTAGTGGATAACGTGGTCTGGTACGATGCCGCCATGTGTATTAAGATTTGTAGAGATATACGTCGTATCTGAGTCGAACATTGCTCTGATTACAAGATCAAGTATTAATGGAGAAATGTGGGTGACGCCAACTTATCTGTATATCACTTATTTCATCTAGAAAGTTTGTTTGTTTTTTTCTGTACGGAGGTGACAATGATCATACATACAATACAAATACATGTAGTGTAAATAATTTCGGTGTATATTTTTTTTTAAATATTTGAACACACGTCGTGGAATACTCCACATCCGTCTTTATTTGATGTTTTACATAACAATAACACAGTGAATATATTGTTTTGTTGCTATGGCAATATATAATGTATGGCATATAAAGCATTTTTTCTTCGCCAATTTGTTTGAAATTTTCGCACATGCCTCTTGCTAACTCTTACAGAATTGCTATTTAGTCTCAAATATTGGATGACGTTTTTGGAATAAAAGAAACCGCGCTTCCAAAGACAAAAATATGGCCATTTATACAACAATTTTGAAATCGATTTAGTGAATGATCATTACTGAAAATCGGCTGAAATCTTGAAATTGATGGACAGTGCGCACTTTATAGATTTTTTAAGTGAGAAATAGACATTTTTAGCATAAAATACTTATTCGAAAATAAATATATTTTTCAGATGTTTAAATTGCAGTGCTAACAGAACATACAGAACACGTAGATGGTAATGTGTTCTTTAAGAAGATTTGCAAATAAACGTAGGTGTCATTTAAAAATTAAAAATAAATCTTTTGAATACAAAACAAATATCACACGCTTATAGATCAATACATTGTTTTTTTTAAATACATGAGTTGAAATCTGATATTGGTCCATATATTTGTATTCTGTATAATTAGATGACTGTCGAAACTATACATTAAAACACGACGATGTGGATATGTTAATATGTCTCTGAAGGTAAATGTACTCAGTGAAGTACAAGTAGCCTGATCAAGGTCATTGGCGTTATAAGTGCTGTCTCATCACATATGCTTGTCTTAGTGCATTACCATCAAGCGCTACGTAGAAGTCTGAACTACTCGACCAAATGTAAATGTGTCGTTCTAAGTATGCAAAGTGTGGTATTCTCGTTCAAATATTAACCGTGACATTTTGCCTGTCTTCTCTAATTTTCGCGAAGAACAAACCTAGTTTTTACAAGACATATAACAGTATTTTTAATGTTGTATCTCAACACTTAACGAGAGATATGGATATACATTATATGTAGTTGGGGATATTTTGCTAATATCAAGCCATATATTTTTTTATTCCTATTTGAACAGTACAGTGCCATTTACGCGTAATCATTTGGCACTAAATATTATATGGAACAAGGCTTACGGTTTAAAGTAAGTTTTGTAAACATTTCTTATAAAGTTTTTTTTTTTGTAAATCCTGACCACTTTCTTGAAATAACTCTAATTTGGGCTGTGTTCAAGTAAATAAAGTGATGAGACACTTTAATTAAATCACTGGTACACATATGACTGGCGCGATCAGGCTTTTAGGTTTAGCATGCGCCATCTTTGATTTGGGTGAAAATAACACTGCGTCCCGTTAAAAACCTGCATATATTGTGTTTTATTTATTTTTTTCGGCATCTAAGATTACACTTTTTAATGCATAATCTATTTAAGGTGAGTTGGAAAGATACAATAGGCGTGCGAACAGAAATATTTTATCATCAATAAAATTACGCATCTGCGACATTACGTGTTAAGTCACGTGACCTGAGAATGGTCAATGCACTTTAAGATTATACGCTTTAAAATATAGATCAACATGATCTGAAAACCCGGTGCTCACATTTCATAATCGTGATGGGGCTTTTTTATAACTATCTAAAAGCCGTAGTTATTCTGGATTAATTGAAAATGAATTTGTTATGTGGGTGGCTACGTCACGTGAGCTTATGAGTGATTAGCCCGCACTACGTCACATGGTTGACATCACACACAAACGAATATGTGCCAACGGATTAATATGGAGACCAGACTCTCCATGCCTCATCTAACACACTCGAATATGCTATGTTTCTCGGGTGATTTCAAGCAATTTGTATTTTGTGATTTCTGATAGAGATAGAGCCGTGATGTTGGATCTAGCAAGTACACCATGCCAATGCATTCTATAAACGACAAAGTTAGTTTGACACCAATAATGAATTCATAGGAAAGTGGTCCCATGCGATGCCGGTATATAATACGTGCAAAATACACATTGTTTGTTAACGTACAAGCCTATTCATAAATTAAAAAAACGCAGAATTTATTCATGTTGCTATAAATTGTACTCAAGGGCAATATAAGGAAATTGACTTTAAAAAAGTTAGGGGCACCAGCCTTATTTTCGAGAAATTGATAGTGGAAAGTCGCCATTTTTTGTCGCACTATTATAACACTTTTACCATAGGTTCCTATGACAGAGATATTATGCAATATCTCAAAATCTAGCCTGGTGACATAGGCTGAAAAAATTATATATTGTTAAAGATAATTTTTGTTGTTCTGAATTATTTAAAAAATCTAGGGTTTAAAAAGTGTCAAAAAATACTTTTTTTCTTTAACACTGTGTTCTATGGAATTGTTCTAAAAATAGCAATTTTCAAGAAATGTTTGGGCACATTTCTCAAAACGTTTAACTGTAACACACAAAATAATGCTATTTCATTGTACCATGGGATATTAGCTTCATGATTGTACATAATAAACGAATGAACATTGTCATGCGATTTATGACCAATTTTGTCAACAATTATGACTAG